TATACTCTATATATATTCAACCTTAATAATATTATTTTAATATTACAAATCACGTATAGGTCTTGTTTTTTATCCAAAACACTCATTCTTCTAAGCTTTGTCAATAAGATTAACTCTTCAGTCAATTAGTAAGGCATATTTATTATTATTGTTACTACTTTACACATTATTCGCCTAGTATTGTTATCATTACTTGAAACGATTAGTGAAATATAAAGAAATCTCTGTAAAACACATTCTATTCTCAAGAAAAATAAATATAAGGGAAATTTATTTGTACATTTCAAGTAAAAGACTGTGATTTAAAGTATGATTTTTCCATATGAGTCCAGGATGAAATAGAAGACAATATTCTATTTGGAAATAAATTGTGAACAAATGATGTATCATCCCAAAATTGTAGATGCCATCAGATAAAAATTCAGTTTTATTAAATGAAAATTAAATCTTTTTTTTATTATATTTAATGGTGGGAGTTACTTCAACTTTTTGGAAAATGAACTTGGGTAACATGGAAATCGAAATTTAAGGTTTTAACATTATGGATATCCTGTCCATTCCACGAGTGTTGTTTTTCTATGGCTGATGGTTAATGTCTGAAGCATCTTCATGAGAATTTAAAATACTTAAAATATTAAATTCAGTTAAAATTTTTAAGTGTGCTTCAATCTGAGAAAATGTATGTCAAAGTATTTGATTTTACCTTCTTTGAATATAATTAAATAAAAAAACCTGAAATTACTTTTTACAAAAGTAATTTCAAATTTCCCAAAAAAATAAACATGAATATGCCATATCATAGAACAACGATCGGCAACAGGCGGACCGCGGTGCGTTTGCGGCTCAGATCGCCAAATATTGTAATGTATGCTATACTATATATGTATGTATACTATACTTTATCAATTAAAGTAATATTTTAAGCCACATAGAATTGAATTTAGTATGTACTTAATTTATTTCAAGTTGCCTAGTGAATCTGTTTTACAATTACCTACAACTGATATCGTTTTATTATTTTATAATCTACCCTGTGTGTGTGTGTGTTTATGCGCGCTTGCAACTGTTTTGTTTTGTTGAAATAAGCGNGCAAGCTATCTGTTTCTTAAATCGCCGTTTGAAGTGAATGTAGTAGCAGAATCGACAGATGTGACTGCCAAGTTGTTCAATCTGTCAAAGGCATCCCTTCAAATAGAGATAATTGATTTGCAAGATGTGTCTTTGCAAATGTATAAAACGGCATCCACTGAAAAATTTTGGGCCGAAATGTCCCAGAAAAATATGAAAATTGCAAGAAACAAGCTATAAATTTGGCTACTATGTTTGGCTCAACATACGTATGTGAAACATATTTCTCAACGATGAATTTTTTGAAAAACAAATATTGTTCGATATTAACGAACGTTCACCTAGAAGACACATTTCTAATTTGTTGTTCCTCTCGAGAACCAAACTATAAAAAACTTGCTCAAGACCGTTCGTGTAATTTCTCACATTAATTTTAGGTCTTGTGTTTTATAATTCAGAATTTGATTTGAAACCAAAATGATATATAGGTAGCACTCAATTTTTTTCAGTTGTTTTTTTCTGGACCTCGTCAAAATTTTCCCACAGTATCCAGACCCCACCTAAAACTACTTGCCTATCCCTGACATAGACGAACATAACTTTCAATTCCAACCAACATTTTTTTTGGCGTATAACATTTTGTTCTAGTTTTAAAAATAGGAATTTCTAACTAACTGGATCACTTTTAAAGAAAAATATTGTTAATATTTTTCAGGAAAAATGTCATCACTCATGATGAGCATTTTCTGGCTCTTACCAAAATGTTTGACAAGCAATTTTTATTTTGTACTGCTGTATTTTGTATTCTGCTATATACTTTGAATAATTGCAAAACTTAAAATTGTTAGGAGTTACATATTTATTTATTTTCATTTTTCAAGGAACCGATGGGCATTATTTCATTTCATTACCTCTTTTCTACTTCTAAGTGCACAATCTTCCAGAGTTTCTGCAGCTTCGTATTTTCCTTGTCGTCTATACAATGCTCCCAAATTTTTCAATGTGGTAGTTACTGTCGGGGAATCTACTTTTGCGGCTTTATGCCATCCTCCATATTCACCATATGGTGCATTCTCTCTGTTCTTTGCCTTATTTTCTTCTCGTTCTTCGGCTACTTGCCAAATTGGTTTATTGTCAACTGAAATAAAAGAAATGATTTTTATGGTATATGTGAATCCTAAACACTTTTTGATATTTCATAAATGTCAATAAAAACTCAGGTGGATGGGTATATAGTTCACAGTATATATTTGTATCAGCCAGATGGGGTGTTTTAAAAAAAACACTCAGACCCGTCTATTGATATCTTGAGTTGGGCAATTTTTTCAATGAAAACTATTACATTTTGTGTCATGTAGGAGTAGTCAATACCAACTTTCTTATTTTTTTATTAAATTTTTGGATTCTTCAGAAGATTTGTTGTGAATTACTCTACTTATTACCCACTACCACCCCTGCGACACCGCTGGAACCCAGTTTTTGAATACTTTTTATATACACAAAAAAGTAATTTGATACATGAAAATTTGAACTTGTTAGCAGATCAAATCAAATTTATTTATCCCCAAGTCCATATAAATGTATAGAATAGAATAGTTTATCTGACAACATCAAATGTCAAAAACTATAGGCTCATCAGTAAGCTATTTATATTTGGTAAACTTTTGGAAAAAATTATTTATGATCTTCTATTATATGAAGCAAAAAATCATTGAACAACAACATGGTTTTTTTCCCAAAAGATCCATAGCAACCAATGTAACTGTTAATTCTGAATACATAAGAGAAAATATGGACAGTGGTATACAGATTGATACGATATACACAGACTTCAGTAAAGCGTTCCATAGAGTAGATCACCCTACCCTTATGAACAAACTAACTGAAGTGGGGGTAAGCAAAAATGGATCAAAGTGGATTCAGTCGTATATAACAAACTGCAAACAAAAAGTTAGAGTTAATTCTGAATACATAAGAGAAAATATGAACAGTGGTATACAGATTGATACGATATACACCGACTTCAGTAAAGCGTTCCATAGAGTAGATCACCCTACCCTTACGAACAAATTAACTGAAGTGGGGGTAAGCAAAAATGGATCAAAGTGGATTCAGTCGTATATAACAAACTGCAAACAAAAAGAGTAAATGGATTAGAATCTAGATAGTTTCCTTGCCCTTCCGGAGTACCTCAAGGCAGCCACTTGGGTCCCTACTGTTCATCATATATAAACGATGTTATCCAATGTTTCAAAAATTCAAAATTAATCTCTGGAGATTAATAAGGAATTTTAAAATTAGGATCACTGACTGACTTATCAAAAAGGTATGTGCTCCTCTCTTCAGACACCAATAATTGCCATTGTAAAAGCAAAATTCCTCTCTAAATTTCTAAAATTTTTCTAGTTCAAGTATTACTAATGTTAAATGAATTTTTACTTACCGTCAATAGTTCCAAATTCCCGTTCGTGTGCTCTATTGAGAATCTGCTTGTAGAGAACTTCAGCTTCTTTGTACTTGCCTTGTTTCAAATAACAAGAAGCTAGATTATTCATTGTCTTACTAACATTAGGGTCATCAGCACCCAACCTTTTTTCATAAATTTCCAACGCTCTCTGGTAATATTTCTCAACCTCTTCATATTTACCCTAAAACAAATTTATCGTTAAATTTTTTAAGTTTCGCTGAATATTTTTGAAAATAAGTTCATGACTTTAGATGTATTTTAATGAAATAGTTTCCCTTCCTTGGAGCCGTCTGACTTGTCCATTTCTTCAAAGTCTCCGGAACACAGTGCCTCAATGGCTCATTGTGTTTTCCCCCCTATGTTTTTCATAACACCCATTCCAACAATCTTATTTTCTATACTAGTCTGTCTCTTGATGGACATATGTCATATTCTTCTAATTTGGGTTGTCCATGAATTGTTTGCCTGTTGTGATCCAAAGCCACACATTCACATAAAATATAATGAGCTGTCTCTGTCATTTGGGGCAATGCATAAAGCTAAGGTCTCAGGTGCCCTCTTAATGGACAGTGAGTAGCCCTGTAATTGTTCTGAGCAGAAAAATTACGTTCACAGAACTTATTGAATTTTATACTATTTTCATAAAGAGGCCATCAACTTGTCTAAATGGGAGCTAAATTCAATGTCCTATACTCTATTAACAAAATATACCCTTGGTTAATCAATTGATTTGAAAGGTTTCAGGTGTAAGTTTTTCTTAAAAAGTATGCAAATACCACCACGTTTGCGTTCACTCTATTCCTTGCAGCACAAGTTTTCATCAGAAGATAGTTACATACACTAAAAATTCGGTACCCAGCATGAAACATTTATTTTAAGCTGATGATGTGGACAATTCCGAAACAAATAAATATTACTGAAGTTTAATCCCAACACCAAACCGTTATTTGTAACACCTCGACACGTGTTTCAATCACGAAGTGATCATCTTCAAGATAAAGATTGAAGATTAGTTAATCTTCCTCTTGAAGATGATCACTTTTTGATTGAAACACGTGTCGAGGTGTTAAAAATAATGGTTTGGTGATGGGACTGAACTCCAGTAATATTCATTACTACACCAAAGGTTCCAAACAGTGCATCACAAATTCCCAAACACTTGTTTTTGTATCCTTATACTGCGGTAATTCCTCAAGGTAGATTAAAATCTTTTCTTCAGTTATGTGCCATTTGATGTTTACATTATTTAGACTCTCTTTCTGTTCCAAAGTTTTCATTCAGTGCTGCAGTTTTTTTTGTGAACTTCATAAATACCAATTACTATTTCAAAAAAGCTTATACATAATTGAGTAACATTGTAATAGTACCTGATGACGATTATTTTCTCTTATATCCAATGCTCTCTTACAGAGAGGTTCAGCTTCCTTATATTTTCCTCGCTTTCCATAGAGAACAGCTAAATTGTTCAAGGTAGCAGCTACTGCTGGATGATTTTCACCAAGAGTTTTTTCTCTTATTGCCAAAGCATCGTTGAGAAGATTAGCTGCTTCCTTGTATTTATTCTGATCTCTGGAAGATAAAACGAAATTATTATGTATGGATAAAACTGTAAACCTAATGTTATATTAACTTATCAAACAAAACTTTATACAATGTTATGTGCTGGTGCTAACCTTACCCCCTGGTTCGTGATAATTTGATTCAAAATTGAACCATAACTACTCAATTTGATAACAAATTTATTTATTGTCTGAGAAATCAAAATGAATATAATTCAATATTCACATTATGGATGACATAATGATAGGACTATTCCAAAACTCGTATCTATGTTATTCAACAATTATCATTTCAAATGAGATTCTCCAAAATTATCATTGCAATGTCTTTGGAGAATAAGAGAGAATGTTGTGTACTATAAAAGGTAAAAATGTAAGAATTTTTGACATTTTCCTCCAACTACCAACAGTCGCTTACAAATTGTTCAATAATGACTTGATAAATTAGGCCTCTTAGTACAATAATATAAGGAAGGTAAAATGTCACAAAAATTTGAATAAGATTACTGATTGCTGATTGGGTGCTGCCTGTTTGACCATTTCTTCCAAGTCCTTGGAAAATACTGCAGCCTCATGGATTTATTGTATTTTTCCTCTCACCTTTTAGTGACACACATTCCAAAAATCTTCTCCTCTGTATTACATTATCCATAATTGCTTGCCTTTTCTGATCCAATGCCTTACATCAGCATAGATGATAAGGTATATCTGTCTTTTTTTGCATTACCTGCAGTACCCAGTGAGTAGCCATTCAATTCTAATCCAATCTCTACTCTTTAAAGCAGTTCTTCGGTTCTTTTCTCAGACAGTTCCTTGGTCCCTTTATGAAGGTTTTTCTGTATGTATCACCAGGTGTATTTTTCCAATACACTTTTTATTTCTTATTGACTCACTTCCTGAAGTAGTTCCGAACCATGGATTTTGATGCTCCCATAGCTGGTAGTTCAGTAAGGTGATGATCCATATCTAGCATCGCTATTAGCTGAGTGTCCATTCATCTAGTTCAGAATAAATCTATTTGGGTTCTAATATTTTTTCAGTTCGTCATGGCATTTCCATGTCATGCTCAACCCAGTTTTGAAGTCCTTTTGTACAAATTCTTTTCCAGTACGTCGATTCCTTGCCAAAATCCAAGAGAGTAGAATACCCATATACAAAATAAGAAAATATAGTTACTGGAGAATTATCTCGATATTTTTTTACATCACAATCTTTTAAAAATTAATTGTTCAAATTATAATGATGTGGCATTAAACAGCAATACCACTAGCACGATTTTTAATTTGTATAGATATTTTTCAGTTTTGGTTGCAGTAATTTTTTTATTGAATAGGCACTAATCAGTTATTCTGCATGTGGTTTTTTTATTTTTCAATTCACATTACCTACTGGTGATTCTGTACAATCATTTTCAAAATTTCTGGTACTTATCTATCACATCAAAGAGTGATCACCTTTTCAGAATAGTTTTCAACAATGTCAACAATTAATTCATGAAATAAGAACATAGATGGTTTCTGACCAGTTCAGTTCTTGTTATCTGTTGCTTTGAAATAACTTCACTCCTGCATCAATGACCACATTTTCAAAAATATGGTGGATCTTCAAAATCTGAATAAAAACTTGTCATTGAATGTATAAGAAGCAAATAGTTTGGTTGTAACTCCAAGCATTTGGTATTTTTGTACTGCCCTGTGAATTTAGAGCTGCATTTTCTGACATGGTTTCCTCTAGATCTGAATCAAGTGATGTAATATTTCTAAAACTCGCAATCTGATATGGACAGGTCTATAATGGATTTTCCATTTCTGCAGCCATCCCAGCATGCAACAGTAATGAGTTGGCAAACTGGTGTTCTAAGAATGGAATTATTGATTTCAAAACTAAGAGAAATGAAATTAACTCAACCTATCATTGCCGATTGTAATTTTTGAAACTAACCAAAGTGTTTCCTCATTGTCGCAGTCATTGATTTTCAATTGTTTTTTTCAGATTTACGTTTTTGTTTTGCTAGTTGATATAAACATAACCAAAGATATTAGTTTGACATAACCAAAAAGAGCTTATTGCACCATTTTGATAGTTGGTGCAAGGAGCAGGGGTAGGTAGATTGTGTTGCTCTTAAGCTTCAATAGTGCTTTTAATAGAACGGGTCTATGCCAATGTATCAAGCTCCGGAGCAACATTGATGTTGCCCTCTGGGTTTGTTTAACCTCTTCGCATTGCCTTCTCCATAATTCTCTCTTAGATTTATCAAGGGGTTTGTTGTACTCAGTAAGGGTCCTTTTATACTGATCCCAAATATCTGGCTTCCTTGCACTTTCAAAGGCTCTTTCAGTTTGATATTGTATTCATGCCAGATCTTTATTGCACCAGGAAATATTCCTATTCAACATCTGGCTGGCTGTGGGACAATATTCATTAGATCTTCTAATAATAGATATAACAGCTTTTGATTATCTGTCTGACAGCAAGTTCTGTCTGTTTTGAAATCTGTTTTTCTGTTAATCAGCTGTCGCCCCCATACGAACAACAACTCTCAGAAGTTGAGAAACTTGTGCGAGCTAAGGACTAACGAGGTCTTACCTTTTAACGTGTGATTCCTAACACGGAATAGTGTTAGGAATCACGCCAAAGTAAATCCATAGAATCCCTGTTACAATAACCCATTGGGTTTGATTTATATTTTAATGATCTGAATAATATAATTTATTGATTCTCACAAACAAACTTAAATTTATTACCAGAAAACATCTGAAATCATCAAAAATTCAAACAATAATCCTCGTCAGTCGTATTCCATTTCAAAACTGGAAAAAATACTTCTGCTAAAAATTGGGATAAAAATTTCTGAATAGCAAAAATTTTTGAATACTGTTGATGACTATTGATGTTGAAACTAAATTTATAGAATCATAGAGACAACTATCTCACCTGTAAACTAGAGCTAAAATATTCAGCATTGTAGCAACATCTGGATGATCATGTCCACTGGTTTTTTCCAAATCTTCTAAAGCCTGCTTACAAAGGGGAACGGCAACTTCATATCTGCCCTGAGAAGCATACTGAATGACTAAATTGTGTAATGTTCGTAGACGAGCGGGAATTTCATAGCCAGCATTAACCTGTTGAGATAATTGCAACTGATTTGGAGGAGTGGGAGACATATCTGAAAGGAAGAGGAATGGAGCATATTATCAACTGTCACTTCATTACACTTCAACTTATATTACATAGTTGTATTTAATAATTATGCTAATTGAAAAATTTAATTAACAAAGTAAATTATTTCATACCTCTCAAAATGTCATTTAAATAAATTAGCATGATTGTTACATACAACTAACTAGATAATATTCAGATATCGACTTGTCAAAAAGAAACAAAACTATTTAATAGTGGCAATTTAAATAAGAAGCACAGTTTTGAAAACAGTAACTTCTCGTGGTGAACTTTCCAGTTTGACTTTTACACTAGATCAGATTCTCCATTGATTTTGATATTTTTCAGATTGTGGAAGCTTAACAAATCATCTCAGTACCTCAAATTTTTGTATGGTTTTTATAACGGAGTTTCAGTATCAACAAAATTGATTGCTATGGTCATTAGCCTCGTATTCTGGATAGGCACTGTTAATAACTTCCAGATCCATTTTCCCTCAGCAACGTTATGCAACAGAATCAACCTAATTTCAACTAGAAGTTAAAAAAAAAAATCCGATCGACTTTGGGTTAGAAACTCATGACCTTACAATCATGAGTTGTGCGCATTACCACTTGAATCAATTTACCGCTAGTGAGTTAGTTGATGGGGCATTTATTCATTTCAGCAATTTACACATTACATATGCAAGTTCGAATTATCGTGACAGAATATTTTTTGTTCAGTCAGGATTTCTTTTAATCACATGGTTATATAGAGGGTTAATTTATATTCATTTACATATTTCACTACATTAAAACTGAAAAATGTTCTTCGACTTATAATAATTATTTGATTAGGGTTTATTTCTATTCTGCATTTTCCTTTCTTCGCCTTCACCTTTTTGTTTTTTTAAGTTTTGTGAAATTGGTATGAAGTTGCTGCACCTGCAGACAGTGAACACAAGGAGCAACCCACATATTTGCTTTCACTTAGCACATGTCATTTAAGTCACTTATCGAGCCCGCATTCACAATAGTGATGATTTATAAGTGAAACTCACCAACAAGCAATCTTTGCTGAATATTTTACTAGCGGAGTTTTAATTTTCTAAAGTAATCACAATTTTTTGCTATACATTTCCTAACAACTGGTAAAATTGAATGCAACTACATGTAAATTTCAGAGTAGAACACAATTTTATCAAACTTATACATACTGTGTCTATCATCAGTATCATCATCAGGAAATAGATCGACAACTGGATCAGGCTTTTCATTCTTTGGATTCTCAGAAGTATTATCTTCATTCACGTCCTGGTCATATTTACTTATAGAACTCATGTATTCCAGATGCCGCTTCTCTTCTTCCAACTGAGCCACAGTTTGCTCACTGGCTTGCAATCTTTGTTGAGTGGAAGCTAATTCATCACGTAACCATGCATTTTCCTGGCACAATCTTCGCACCTGGGTACGTAACTTCTGTTTTTCTGCCTCTACCAATTGTAAATGCGCCGCCAATGCCATAATCACCTGACGATAAAAAATAGTTAATTGAATATCCAGTGGTAGGTGAAAGGTCAAAAGTGAGTGGTTCTATTCAACCCTCCACCGTAAACCCTAATATCCAGTGATAGTGAGATGATGATTGTAAGAAGTAGTTAGGTGCATTAACCTTCATTCAAAAAAATTGATGACTCCTTTCAACAGTTGAAAATTATAATTGATTTTGATGAACAAAATATAAAGGAAGTATAGTCAAGTTAAATAATTAATTAAGTAATCTTCCAACTATGCAACAATGTAACTTTCTTATCCCTAAAGTGTGACCAAAAATAATCCTCTTTGTAATTTATGCTTAATCAGTTAATATTTCTGTTCATATTTTTTTTAAATTTTTCTTTGCTTGGTTCATCTTATCACCAACTTCAAAAGGCTCATAATT